ATTTGGTTAGGTCCTAGTAATCCACCATCATCAACATCATCATGCCAACAGTCAAACGTTTGAAAGACAGATGAATAAGCCACGCTCTTTTTCCTTAATGAACAAGTAGGCTAACCTCTGTGTAAGCATACTTTTTTTCTCCCTTTATCCCCTGAAGAAACGTTGAGTGGAGGTTTTGGTGTTAAGTGAGGGACGGTTTCTTTTCAGCATCTGGGGGGTGGGATGTGAGCCAGAAGTTTTACACAGGATGTGATTGTGCCACCTGGGAGTGGAACGTTTTTAATTAGGATTTCCAGGCCGACCTTGGTTTATGTTTGAAATGTTGCAGTTCTGGTCCAATGTGTCAGGCTGTACTGGGTGGAAGGAAGGGAAGGGGGTAGGCTGCTCTGGGGTGGGGTGGGGGGCAGGGTGCTTTGGTTTGGTGTGGAAATGGGGCTCCATCAACCTTGGCAGAGCTCCCCCAACCTGTCGGCTGCCGTCTCACACTGGCCCTGAATCCCACCGACAGACACTCCGGTTTGCTCTGGCAGGCGTGTGCCGCTGCTGTGTGCACATTTCCATCTGAGATTCTGAGCAGCAGGCCCAGGCAGGCACGCTGCGGACCTTTGGTGTCACTCTGTCCCTGCTCTGCTAAACAGCAAGGTGGAGGGGACGAAACACAGACGTCTTCAAGGGCGTAAACAAACCAAAGGAAGGCTTTTTAAATTTGAAATCTACCTAGAAATTAAGGCTGGTTTCACCGAGTCAAAAACCCTCTCTCCTCACGCTATATGTCCAGAAAAGCTACTAAAGCAACAGGCTGTCGCGTCTGTTTTAGCAACGCTGAAACCAAAGCCACCAGGATGTGGGAATGGGGAAGTGACATGGCAAGCACAGGGAGGCAAAAGAGAAAGCACACAAGGATCCCTCTCCTCGGGTGCTTCTCTGGGAGGAGTCCCGTGACCTAAAAGTCCTGTGCAACCTCCCTCACCAAGGCATCCGAAGTAACACAGACTACAACCCGACTGCCTGCCAGAGCCAGGCATCCCGACAGACTCCACAGTCAAGCAAGCCATGTCCCTGCCCTCTTCAAGTGAGTCCTTTTACTTCTTACTCCCAAGTCACCGTCTCTTTCATTTCCAACCTCATATATGACCCACCCTCTCTTTCTCTCAACGTTTCCATCTCTATTAGTTCCCCTTTTCCTGATTCTGGAGTACCTGAGATCTCCTTTCCCAGCAGTGAGAATTCTCCTTTCCTTTTTCCTTTTAGCCCGTAAAAGTGCAGCTGCCACTGCCACATTCTGCTGCCTTCAAAAAATCCTCCACACCTACCTTTCCTGCTTTAGAGACCCAGACACACCGCGTACATACCTCTGTGCTTCTGATGTCCAGATCCCACAGGACCTGCTGCGACCCTCTTCCCAGCTGCATTTTCCTCCATGCCTTTCGACTGCCAGACCTGCCTTTTTAGATAACGCTCAGCTTCTTCCACTTCGAACTAATTAATACAACAGTTCTCAGCTGCCTGCATTCTTTCCTGCTCCTCCACAAGTTTCTTGTATTGAGGTCCAAATGAAGTGTTCCTTTCACAAAGGATCGTTTCTAGATTCACTAACATTGCCCCAACTCCCAGCTCTTAACCCGACTTCTATACTTCCAATGGAGCTTCTACAGCTATGAGGAGCAGTAACACCTATTTGAGGAAGGTAGGACTTCACATGCTGTGTTTTCACTTGCAGTTTGTTTGTGTTGGAGTCTTTGACTTTGAGAACTCCATGCTGCTGAGAAAATGTTCAGCCCTGCATATCTGCCCTTGATGACTTCCAGGAAGAACTGGCTTCTCAAAACAGACGATCTAAAAATGCACAGGTTCATTTTTGCACAGGTTCAATTCATCACTCTGTTTAAAACACTTAGTGACTTTCCATAACTTTCTAGATGAAGCCTCAACATCTTAGCTTGACCCTGAAGACAAGTTAGTTTCTAGTGCCTTCTCTGAAGTCTCATCTTAGTTTCCCTCTGTTTCTATAGAGAATGGACAGATTCTGCAGTGGAATACCATGTCCAATTTGAATGATTTGTTCAGTCACTTTTAAGGTAAGGTGACTTACATCCCAGTTGGTTTGTATTTTTTTCTCTCTTTCTACCCCTCTGCCTCCTTTCGTTCCTTCTTTTTTTTTTAACTGAGATTCTCTTTGACAAAGAAAAATGGTAGATAAACGTTAGAAATATAGCAAAGAAATAGTTGGTTTACTAATGAGAGGGAAAAAAAATCAAATAAACAAGAGGACAGGAAATGAAGTGAGAAGTAAGACTAGTAACAGACTAGTAACTTCTTAGTGCCTAGATTCATATCCAGAATCTGGGGGTTGTGAGCCTCTAACTACATATGGGAGATATGGGTTAGAGAGGAAGGGATTGATGGAAACTGAGACAATAAAAAAAGGCAGGCTGGGATGAAATTGAGAAGAAAATCCTAGGAATACACAGAAAAATCACACCAAAATGATTCAGGTGACTTTAAAATTTGAAATTTGTATTTTGAACCTAAAGAGATTCTGAAATGTAAAGCAGAGGAACAAATCTAAGTATCATGTGCCTGGAGCAGAAGAGGCACTGCTTAGGTGATGCTGCAGGAAGGACAGAAAGGGATTTTCTCCATGCTCCCACTTTTAACTCAGATCACATCCTCTCCGATCTGAAAAGGACCTTAGGAGTCATCTAGATGAATCACTTTCATTTACAAATGAGGTCACTGAGACTCAGAGAGTTTCAAGAACATCTTCTAAGTGTAGAGTTAGTTATCTGCAGATGTAGCTTGTTGAACCATCATAATTAAACCATAAGTAGGAAACTGGGACTCTTTTGCTTTTTGACATGAAAACATCCCCAATGTTCTTATGCTTTCTCACTTTCTTTCCTTCTAACCCTAACCAAACAGTTCTAATTCCCTGTTTGTTTAAAGTCCTCAATTAAATTTTTTACAAAGTACATCATAAGATGCCCCAAGCTTTGAAAGAAAACAGCTTCTGGGTGTTCCCTGTATGCCTTAGTCACAACCACTTTTACTGAAGGTGTTTTATCTTGGCTCGAGACTATTTTATACAATACAAAATTGCTGAGATGAAAGTAAGAGTTATCTTAATGAAAAAGATGATGATGATGCTTTTATAAGTAGGTGCTTTCTGCTTTTTCAATAGCCTGATGGAGAGTCTGATTCCCAAAGCACTTGAGTTATTAATTTGGAAAAATGGTTTTTCTGGAATCCTAAAGTGGATGGGACATCAGAACCTTATAACAGACTACACCAATGATAGCCATCATTGGTCTATGCTGAATGTAGCCTGGAAGAGGGGTCTGTCAGAGGGTGGTGAGGACTTCCTCTAGGCCAGAGAGCTCAACAAATAGAAACAAACCAGGAAGCTCTGGCATTTCTCCAAGCCCTTCAATGATCTTATAATCTTGTTTCTGTTTTCGTTTCATTTGCCATCTACCAGGTATGAGTTTTTGCCAAAGGAGCCAACAACCAGCCATTTTATAGATTTCCTTTTAAAAAAATGCATAGTTGTGTTTCCTTGCCCCTAACAAAGGCAAAACAGCATGACTTTGTTCTACCTTAGAAGGAAATGGATTCTTGCCAACTGGTTTTTGAAGGAGAGCCCTTTGCTTTAGGAAACTATCTTCACCATTTTGATTAAAAAAAAAAAAAAAAGTTTATATTCAAACCTCTAGCTGTGAAGAGCACGGAGTTTGAACTTGCATTTCCATTGTGCCTCGGTTTGGAGAGATGTGGAAGAGAGGGCAGCAGGCATAGGACATTGTGGCCTAACATTCTCTAATGGAAGGACATTTAGGTGGTGGCCATCACTGCCTGCCAGAGGAAACCAAATAGTTAAGACAAATTCAGAAATGGTTATCAAGTTATCAGTAACCCACTAGGGTTCATGAAGGAAAGAAGAGCGTGGGTTGATGTACTAAGAATGTATACGAAGGTGACCCCAATGCAAAATTATTATGTATAATAGAAGAAGGCCTAGCTTTAAGAAAAGTTGTCAAATCTTAGCAAGGGATTCACCCCCACAAACCCATTTTACTTCTGTTGGAAACCAAGAAATGTGTATAAGCCTGAATAGAGACTGCTGACATCATTTTAGTCTGCTGAGTAGACTAGTGATTGGTTATAAGTAGTTTTTAAACAATCCAATTGGACATACATTATATTCACAATACTTTTATAGAACTAATTCTACAAAATGTGACGACAGGGTAACCACAGTCTGACAAGTCACTTCAGGACGACGCCTACAAGGTGGAAACACGACATTGGCTCTGCAGGGACTGGACAGAGTTGGAAGCTCATTTTGCTTATGGTGGTAATTGGAGTGCTTAGTGGACATGTTTTCATGATGGTTTCATTGCTTGGCTCTGATCTGATTTGCAGTAACATACTATGTACCACGGGGTCGTGGCCTAATGGAAGAGATAGCATGGGACTTTCAGGGGATATTTTGGTCAGTTTTTTTTTGAGTGTCCACAATTAACATTTTTAAGAAATAAAAATCATACTCATGCTGCTCCAGAGACCCTGATGATTCTATCAAAGACTTATCATTTTGAAGTTGAAAATCATTTGGAATGGAATAATTGTTGGGATGCCGTGACACTGAGCATGCAAACATCAGAGCTCAGACACATTAGAATTGTGTCTAATGGCTAGAGAAATCTTTTTTGACCACAGTTTGAAGTGGCTGATACATAGGATTTCATCGCTGGTAATTTTTAAAGGCCTTTTCTAATAGTCTGTATTAAGTGTATTCGTAACTGTCCTTGTATTATTATTTTTTAGGTTCTTGTAACAAGTTTGTGTGTTTTGTCCCAGCAACTAAAGAAAAGCCTGCAAAATTTAGATCTGGGCAAAAGTCATCTCCTCGATCACGAAACTTTTCGCTTTTACACAAAAACTCAGTGAATCGCATGAATGTGTTATCCCATCCTATTGTTAAGTAGAACTGTTAATTGATGTTTACAAACTTTCAGGCTAAAGCCCTGGACTTGGGAGATAGGGAGAGAGTCCACCAGACCTTACCAAAGTTGAAATTACTTGCTCGGTTGGTTTGGAGACATGAAATGAGAAGCAAAACAGTATGTAGGAGTCCCCGCCATTGGAACAACAAACAGAGAAATGTCTTCTGTGCATCTGGTCCTCAACTTCCACATCCCAGGCATGCTCACAACCCTCCTGGCATTGTTAGTTGGCAGGGTAAACCCGATCTGGCATTTGTAGCAAAGCTGCAAGAAGGTCTTCCCTTTAAATATATGAACAAAAGGATAAGAAATACAGGATGAAAACTAAAACTACAAAAATATGACTTTCGAATGTGAAAATAAGTGTTTCCATTTATTAAGAGCTGGTGTCAGTGCAGCCAAAATACACATCCATCCAGGAAATTCACCTGCCCCCTTTTGTCTTTTTTTTTTTAATTTACTAAAATACATGTTTACATTATTGGGCCGTTTTAAAATTGCCTTAATAATCCAGTTGCCTTAATTACAATTAATTGTGGTGGTGACCATCACTCTCCTCAAAGAAAGAGATAAAGAAGAGAAATATGCATTAAGGAGTCTGGCCACTTAGGCATTTTGATTTTGCATTGTTAGATATAGGGAAGATATTCGACAATGAGAAAAAAAGAAAAAATATATATTTTCTTTCTAATAAATAAAAATAATTTAAAATGCTAGAGGCTATACAGGACTATCTTAGTATGTTCATTTATAAATGAAATCATTTTCTTTTCCAAAATACATGGAAGCAATATTCAAGGCAGACAAGGAGAAAGATCTGTCTATTTTTCTTGCAATTCTTGCTTATCCTAACGTTTCCACCAGTGATAAAGCATGTTAAGAGGAAGAAAAGTCACGTCACCATTTATGAAGTTTGTCAGGCTTTAAAAAAAATAGTTCTGGTCTCCTGGGAGTCAACATTCATCTTCAACTTCTCTGATTGGTGGAATCAAGCTGCTTGTGGATTTATATTGGTTGATCTGGTTAGCCATGTGGGTACTCATGGGCTTGATTTGAATGTTTCTGGGATAGGCATTATCCGGTTCATCTGTAAACCATTTCTTTTCTGCTAAAGGGCAAAACGGATAGAGAACAAGAAGGAGAAATTAGAAGCTTAATTAGTCCTAGGCCAAAGATCTTGGAAAGTTCATTGAAAAATGCAAAAAGGTAATCGAGAGAAGCTGACAGTGAGTAATTGCTAAAAGAGACGGTATAGTGTAGGGAGAACCCCAGAACCTGAAACATACCTCTGCTGCCTGTAGCAAGTGACGAACCAACAGGCTATTGGGACCTGGAGGCACCAGGGGTGGACTTCAGAGAATAAAGAGGGGGTGGAAGATTAACTCTGGCAGTGTTCTCTGGGGTTCCTTTGGTGGCCTGAAAAGCTTTGGTGGTGAGGAGATGATGAATATAACAAGTATTAGGCATGGGTGTTGCACCTAAAGAAAGACTTGTGCATCTGTTGATTTGAGTGGAGATGAAGGGACACTGTCCCTTCCACAGATTAAGAGATCTAGAAACTGCCGCAGGGTTTCCTCCTCCCAGCCTTTAATTGGCTTTGCTTGTACAAGCACACTTAAAGGTATGTCTCAATTATAACACTCCTTTATTTCTTTTGAAGCCAGTTTTGGGAGTCTTAAAGTAAGCCCACAGATTTTTGCTGACCAGTGAGGGTGAAACATTAGATTAACAACCAATGTTTTAAAAGGCTTTTGAGATGGCTTTAATTTCAATAAAACTCTCTGTTGGTATGAAGTTATGAAAAGAATTCCTAGTGGCACTATCTTAACCAACTATAATCACCCAAGCTGTCAACAAGGGAGCTTGACAGAGTCTTGGCATTTCATTCTCACCCTAGATCCAGAGAAGGCTGGAAGAGAATGCTGAGTCAGGGCATTCAGAGTCTGGGGTAGGATGAAATGGCCTAGCATCCTCCTGGCATCAGTGCTATTTCACAAGACTCAGCCCTTTCCCTACCTCTTTTTACACTGGAATTTTCTGGGAAATCAGCCACGTGTATAGATACAAAGGAACTGGGGCAAACAGTGCATTCTAACTTGAGAATCATATGCCTCATTTTAGTGGCTTTTAGGAAAAGCAAAGAAAAAGGAAAAAGCTTTCAAGTACGCCCACTGCTATAGAGACGATGGCCTCTCTGGCCTCCTCTTCTGTCTTTCAGAACAATTCATAACTGCCTTGTCGGTGGTCCTGGATGGATATGTTAACAAAATTGCTCAGCTGGCTTGATTCTCATAGAAGACCACGCGTATGTGTCCCTGTATGGCTAACGATTTATAGATCCGACACCTATGATCAGCTCATGACCACTCTGCTTGTCTCTCCTTGGTCCATGCTTCCTCTTGCTGTGTCCAGGGCCCCGGGCCCCCGGAGTAGACACTAAACTAAGTTGAGCCTTGAGAAGGCTCACTCACTATCCTTTGTTCAGCAGCTCGGTATACCCCCTCCTCAGGAAACTTCCTGCCTCTTGCATCATTCTCCACCCCCCTCTCCTTCCTGCCCTGGCTCTCTCACCTATTATAATTAAGTTCACTTTGATTTGAACAGATTGGACGATAGGAATTCATAATGCTACATCCTCACAGTGAAGCTAACTGATTAAGTGCTTTAAATTATTCCCCCTGACAGAATGATAAAGTTACAATCTGTTCTGAGATGATCTACAGCTTGCCAGACTCCTACAGCTTCTTTCTACATTCATTTATCTTTTTGTCAAGCAGAGTTTTTTTTTTTTCTCCTAAGCTTCAATTCCATAGATCTTTTAAAGTCATCAGCACATCTGAATTATTAATGAGGCTTTAGAGGCAAGGTTCCTGATGGGCTGGTTAAAAAAGGTTGTATAGAAATCCGGGACTGTGTACACATCAAAATAATTTCAGCTCCATTTAAAAAACCATTTAGTTCAAGTGTGACATAGATGAACCATTATGCATTTGTGGAAACCAATTTTTTTGTGATCTACGATTAAACTAACCTTTCAGAGAGGAGTAAAGTATGATGGTTATCATGTTTTAAAAGCATTGCCAGGCCGCTGAAACAATTTCCAACTATGACTTTTTCCAATGGTTTAGTTGTAGGGATGATTTTCAGAAAGTGTCTGTGCTGTTTGCCTGAGCTGCCCTTGGTTTTGGCTGTCCCCTTTTGTGGACTGATTTTGCAAAAGGATTTAGTGCTAGGTTGGACATGCCAGGTTGGAAGGGAGAATGAACTCTGCTGATGGAAATGAGTAGGTCTTCTGGGTGAAAGACCTAAGACAGCTGCAATTTGCTGAAATTTTTACAACTGCTGCAGAGAATAATTGTTCAGAATTTAGTCTTTACAGTTCAGCTCAAAGTTGGCATTTTGACCTTTCATGGCAGAGAGAGTATCAATTTCCTTCTGCTGTCTATAAGAAAGAGAGCATTATTTCCCCCATTTAAGTGACTTTCTCTCTTTCCTTTTACATTTCTTGCCATAAAAATAATCTGAGCAGAGTCATCCTTGTGTTGGCCATTCAGCTTCTGCACAGAAAGGAGTTGTTTTAAAGCATATCCTGGTGATGAGTTGAGGTTTTCATTATGCCTGAGAAACAGGCTTTTTAATTCAGGTGCCTTGTAAGATATAAACAGCTATGTTGTTGGAGACTTGGTTAGATAAGATGTTGAAGAAATGGAAACAGATGAATGCTAAAATGGGTAGGGGCAAAGTGCTTCTCCCAAAAGGCTTGATAGGAACAACACTTTAATGACTGCCAGTCATTCTGCTCCAATGGAGAGAGCCTTGCTATGCCAATGACACTTTGGGTTATCAAACTTTGCCTTCCAAAGAAGGAGCTGCATCACTGGGTGCTTACAAAATTGGCCATAAGGAAGAATGCTCAGGGAAGGAATTCAAGTGAGTGTTGGAGTGGTCCAAGGTCAATCCAAAGCCCTGAGCTGGTCTCCTCTTCCTGCCACACCCCACAAGCCAGAAAGACTTCTGGGGGCTTTATTTTTATCCCTAGAATGAGAAGGGCAATGGATCTGGTTTTGAGGCCCTCCTCCCTGCCAAAGAAAAAGAAATTCATTTGTTAATAAGCTCTTGAAGATGAGATACATGGTGTCATCACTGTGAGTAGAAGGTGTGATGTGCCTCAAGTCAAGGAAGGAGTGGCATTTCAGTCTGTGACAAGTAGGCTGGTAGAATATGATCAAACCCAGAAAATAACTGCAGAGAGTCATGACACTGCCATTGGGAGGCATCACCTATGAAGACCAGACAGGCCACAAGCCATCCACTGCAACCAAGGAGATGGCATAGGACAGTAGGTAAGGCCAAGGGCATCTGGCTCTCTCACATACTAATTGCTGGCTCGGAGTGGGTTGTTACATAATTTATCTTAACTTCAGTTTCTCTTCTGTAAAATGAGGCTAATGATCTTTCTAATGGTGTTGTTTGGATGAAAGGGGTTAGTATCCATGAAGCACTTATCTACATACATGATACGTCAATGTGAGCTGTTAAGGCTATCAGTATTATTGGTAATATTAGGGGGCATTATAGCATAAAGTTCATGGACTTTAGTTTTAATCACCTCTCTGGTACTTCCTGGCTGGGTGACTTTGAACAAATCTGTCCCTTGAATTCTGTATCTTTCAGATGGAAATACTAAGTGCATCTACATCTGAGGTTGTCTGGAGAACTGAATGAGTTAATATACACAAAGTGCTTAGAAGAGTGTCTGACTCATGGTAAGCACTTGGAGCGTGTTAGGTTTTAGTTATGGTTAGTTAACCATGCATAAGTTTAGCATGAATATGAGTACTCTCAGTGCCAAAGGACATAAGAATAGGGGATAGCTTTTGGTGTGATTACAGATGAACTAGGGGTGGAGAACTGAGGTGTGTAAACCTGGTGGCTGGCCAGAAGAATGGGGATTGTGGCAGCAGAGATGGGGAAGAAGGAATTGACTGGATATCCCTTCTTAGGAATAGGAGGAAAGGAAGGGGCGACAGCATCCAGAGGTACTTGTGTCTTTGAAATATTGTCTTTCAACTTGGCAGGTGCCCTACCCCACCTGCAAGCCATCTGTGTCTTCCGTTGCTACTTTCATCACTGGCATTTGAAGGTCTAGAATAAGGGTCAGGACTTTCTCAGCCATGAAGGATCCCAGAGGAATGGGCTATGGCAGAGAAGGGCTTGTGATCTGGGCTGACATAACTGCTGGGTTTTCTGGCGCTGTGGGTTGTCAGTGCTGTGGGATCTGGCCTATTCTCTTAGCACTACCAAGATAAGAGCACATGAAAAGGGAGATGATGATACAGCAAAGGTATTTGGAATAATTGGGCCTTTTCTTACTATACCACTACCTGAGGTTGAAACAGAAAGGGCTTGAAAGGGAAAGATTCCATTTGGATAGAGATAATAGTTGAGAACAGTAAGAACTAACAAAGAGCTCAATCCTTCAAAGGTAATACTGTGTGGGAGCTTCTGAGAGCTAGTCTGGCCTTCACCATCCACCCAGCAGACCCTAAGGCCCCAGTGGACCCCACCCATCCCTACTGTCTCCTTTCCTTTCCATGGACAAAGTATGGCTAGTTCCTAGAAATGAAAACTACAATAGAATCAGAGTAATTTTCCCTTATAAAAGCTGTCTTGCTCCTTTGCAGTTGTCCAGTGTGACTCTATTTGACCTCTTTTAACTGTTAAGTCTGATGCTGCCATTCCCTAAGCAGAACAACTGCCCCCTCCTGACACTCCGTAAGGACTGACTTTTCACTCCTCTTTTTCAAGTGGCAGGGGATAATCCCTCTTACCTCCCTAGGTGATGGATGTACAACCTCCTGGTAGGACATAGTCTACCAGGTTAGTGACAGGTGCCCACATCTACTTCATCACCTTATGACAAAGCAGTGATGGACTGAAAGAAGCTGATTGAGACACTGATTTTTTTACCCTGCCTTGACTTCTGCAGTCCCTGAAGTTTCTGCACCCTCTTCTTTCTCCTTCAGGAGCCTGTTGCTATAGAAACCTGGCAGGTTGATTTAATTGTCTCTATTGGGATGCAGACACCTTTCAGCTTTTCCCATGCTGAAGAGGAGCCAGTCAAAAGGTTTTTCTGGTCATCTGGGATCTTGATGATGCTGGCAGGAGGCACAATCAAGTCTCTCCTCTCATTGAACTCACAGGACTGTTCCCTTCTCTCTGAAGCTGTGTACTCAGCCCAAGAAAGTGCCAACAGCATGATAGTACTGTGAAACACCTACAGGCATTCCTTGAATTTTCGTAAGATAAGCCAAGGAGGTGAAGATAATTTATCAAACAACTAAAGATATAACAATATTTAAGATCAATTTATTTCAAAAATACTTATTGAGCACATAATGAGAGTAAGGTTCTGGATCAAAACCTGTATGATCTTCCCTGGTGGATCAGATGGTAAAGAATCTGCTTGCAGTGCAGGAGACCTGGGTTCAATCCCCGGGTCTGGAAGATCCCCTGGAGAAAGAAATGGCTACCCACTCCATCATTCTTGCCTGGGAAATCCATGGACTGAGGAGACTGGCGGGCTACAGTCCATGGAGTCGCAAAAGAGCTGGACATTACTTAGTGACTAAACAAACTCAGAATTTGAAACCTCTCCTAATGGTGGTAGAAATCTAATTGTAAGGGTCCAAGTCTCTCTCTATCCATTTGAACTGGCTTCAGGAAGGGGCCTGTGTAGCAGCCATTAGGGATGTTGATTGCATGATCACCTGAGTGCTGAGGCTGAGGTTTCACTATGCCTCCTGGTCTATCCATTTACTTAAGCTTCAACCCTTTCAAAGCCTAAAACAAATTGAACTGAATGGCTTACAAATTGCTTCTCTTTTAGAATGGTGCAGATAATTGAGTTTCTAGCTGTTGTTCTCTTTAAGTACACATACTTTCTCTTCAAATAACCTTTCACTTTCCACCCTGACCTACTTATTTTTTGGGTGGGGAGGGGGAAGAGAAGAGGTATCACATGAAAACCTTGAATGTCTCCTTCCTAAGAGAACCTGAAAGAAGGATGAGAAGTTTGGGGGTCACATGGAAAACAATGGAAGAGATTCTTCATTCAACTGAGGAAAGAACAATATAGTAGTTTGGACTCATAAAAATTAGAAGTAATAATGATACCTTTTTCATCACTGAATATATCATTAGCCAAGTACAATCAACTTTCAATTGTATGCCTGAAGTCCAGGGAACATCCCCAAATTTCATTGCAAGTCAGTCTGTTCCCACTCCATTCCCATCACAAGATCATCTCATCACAGCTGCTAACAGATTGTATATAAAACGCATTTTGGATTTACTTCTCTCTATCTGCCCAATCTCTGGTTGGGATTTCACAAATGTCTGAAAGGCAGGTGGGAGAAGAGACCCAGGTAATACAGAGACTGAATCATCAGCCCCCAGATAACTGGGTATGGGCTATTGAGTTGATACATATAGCTGAACAGCTTTAATTTGGGAGTCATTCTGATCCAACTTCAAAGAGACCATTTTTTTTTTTTAAACCATTAATAATCCTCCTGGTTTAAATCGAAAGGAGGGTAAACTATTCACCAAGAAGCAGGTTTGCCAAGTGGAAGAGCTGCAAATGTTTTCCAGAAAAGTTTATCACTTGGCATTATCACTTGATTTAGTTGGTCTTGCCAAGATAGACACAGAGATGTGGACAGACTGATGGGGTACTTGGTTGGGGTGATGGTAATGGGGGGAGGTGGAGGAAGCTGGGTTTCTTGATGGGAAAATGCTTTTGGACTTGGAGCAAGGTATCAAGATGGGCAGGGAGGCCACGTGCAGATTGAAAGGCAAGCCAGATGGAGAGAAGTTCCCCCCAGATTACCCAACCCCAACCCCAAGAACACCAAAACAAACTCTAAGGGGTCTAGCGGTAGCAGCAGGACAGCCTCATTGCACTGAGCAATTTAGAAAGTGGAGGAAGGGGGAGAAGAAGGAAGGGGAGAGGAGGGGAGGGGGGAGGGGGAAAAAAAAAAGCAAAACAAAATAAATAAACCCACAAACAGAACAATAAAAATAAAAATAAACAAACCAATAACAGAATAAAATTTGTAACTCCTTTTTTTTTTTTAATTTCACAAAAGTTTTCACAAGGACAACGTTATAGAAGAAAACCCCCAGCAGTGGCTAGGTCATGCAGAACCATTAATTGTCATACCTTGGCCCATTCTATTCATCCTTGTTGCACTTTAGAGAGAGAAGTAAGCTATGTGAGTTTTACAATGCTTTTAAACTGTCATATTTCCTGTTGAGCACTTTAACTGGCACATTCTTATAGTTATAAATGTTCTGAGGGCATAACTTTATAACCTCCTTTGCAAAGAATGCATGAATAGCTCTTCATGATCCAAAACTAGGGGATATGTATGTGTATGTATATATATATACATATATATATGTATATATGTGTATATATACAGTTATATATAAAAAAGATAGTTGTATGTAATGTATAAATCAATACATAGGGACAAAAATAATTTGAAAAAATCTTCCACTCATAGGGTTTTTTAATATCCATGTATACAATGAGTGCCTACTGAAATACTGATTGGAATGCTGCCTTGCCCTGTCTTGGGTGTGGGGATGGAGATTTTGACTAAGCCTCACTATTTCGTCAGTAAAAGTGCTTGTCAATTCACACAGCAAGCAGATCTCAAAAACTATCATGCTTGGGGGGGACAGGGGATTCAAAATCTAAACCCAAAACATTCACCATAAAAACACCTTTTTAGAGATGGTTACAGCTGTGACATTTTCCTCTCCCCCCAACACCTGTGCTGTTCAGTGAAATCTGTTTTCAAATAAACATTTCAAATATATATATATATGTATGTATATATATATATATATAGCAGCCCAAGGCTAGTCCATCCTCACAAGAATTTGATTATGGTGGAGTTGGCCAATATTTAAGAACTATTGTACCTTGTCTAAAGCATGGTTTGCATGCATAAAATATCTGAAAACTGCATATTGAAAAAGGGGTATTTCTCTACTTTTTTGCTCATGCTTACTAACTGTTTAAAAAAAGAAAGAAAATGAAAGAAAAAAAGAATTATACCAAAGTGTGTTTGGCTCACTGTTGCACTGTTTTTCTTCTCTCCCATCTGCTAATGACAAGGGGTCCTTCTCTATGACTGTCATTCACCTGCCTAAGTAGATTGGCTACGTTAAAGAAACTGATGATGAGGAATTTCTCCCAATGGCTTTCTGCTCTGGAACAGCCAGCATCATGCAGCTGTGCCAACAGTTGAAGCTGGCTTTTGTCTTTGTGGAGTCAACTGTGGCTTGATCCTCCTACATTCTGATTTATTTAGCATGCTGGCTTCTAGAAAAACATGGTCTGCCGCTGGGTTTATCTTCCTCTCTCTCTACCATGGCCCCAGCCCTTGCTCCTCCGTGGCACTGGGGCCCTAGCTGATCAAACAAAGGGGAGTAAAAAGGCCCCCAGAGAATGCGTGGAAAAATACTTGCTCTTTCCTGAGCATTATTTATTCTGTACATAAGGTAGGTAATTCACCTTTTAAAAGATGTAAAAGTCCCAGGAAGGCAGTTTTTAATGACTTACATCTGATATTTATGATACATATGGCTTTTCATCCCAAATGTCAAAAGTGAGAGAAAAAACATAGCTATTCATATGGCAGCATAAGGAGACAGAATAACAATATGCAATCAAACCTCTTTTCACTTAAATGAAATGACTTGCATTTGATACATCTAAGAAGGGAATACTAGTCTTTCCACCACAGTAAGGGTAGAAATGTTCCTATAGACTCTCAAAGGAAGCTAACTCTGGGACAAAAGGCCTTGGTGAGTAACTAAAAAAAATCTCTGATGTTCTAACAAGCAAGTGCTTCATCATCTACACAAATGGCGAAAGACTTTCAAATGCTTTGAGATACTTCAGCCCAGAGAGTAGAAACAACCGATAGATATGTTTCTGTTGCTTTTGGGTTGCTTATTACAAATACATGTGTGTGTATATATATATATATATATTATTGTGTATATATAAAAAAAATCAAGAGAAGGAAAGAGAGGAAAACAACAACAACAAAATCAAAACCCAAAGCACCCTGATAAAACTGATACATCAGAATAAACTTCTCTTCTACACTAACTAAACTTGCTTTGCATAACTGACGTGGGGATCACAAGCACTCCCTTCTCATCTGTGAACTCATTCCTGCAGTGAGCTATTTATGTCTGGAGCATGCCTTTGGGTTATTTTTCCCCTAGAATCATAAATAACTTTTGGTCCGTCTGCTTATTTGCTGTTGTGCTCAAGGGTTTTATGGTGGTAGAATAAAAATGACAACCACATGCACACTATCATACATATGCAAATATGTGTAAAAAAAATGGGGGGGACTACAGGGGAAAAATGGGGGAAGTTACTGTTGGAAACACCCACTGGGGAAATGAGTGGCAGATACAGTTTCACACACGGAGGCAGTGGATACACACATCAGAGCCGCTCTTCCTGCACGTACTTCTGTTTGTCTCGGGACTCCCGGGACTTGGGCCGGTTCTGTCGGTTTGCCGTGGATGGGATGGAGTGGACAGAGGAGCTCTTCTTGCTAGAGGACTGGGACGAGTGGGAGGAATGGGAGAGGCTGGCCCGGGACTGGCCGGCGTTGTGGTCAAACTGCATTAAGCAGAAGATCAGGTCCGTCGGCACGAGCTCAAACTCGTACGGGGGGTTGGTGATGACATACCTGGATGCAGAGAACAAAGAAGTCACAGAATGAGGATAATGTGGTGGAGATTTCACCTCTCTGAACCAAACCAGGTCTACCCGAAGATTCCAGCCAGCCCAAGGCCTTAGACAGTGTCTTCGGAGTGGAACAAAATCTGTTTAGCTCCACAGAGGAAGTCAGCCATGAGCCCTCCCAGAGATTCTGAATTAGCGCTAGACAAGGGAGAAACAAGTGGTCTGTATACCCACTTCAGCACAATATCAAGTTCCCTTCTGATCCTGAGACGCACATACATGCAGGAGGTTTCAAGGACTGCACTGCATCTCTTATCCTAGAATGTTACAACAATCTTATACCCATATCACAGTATCTTTGTTTACCCCCATCTAGCAAAACCTTAGTCCTTTCTCCCTCTTTATCTTTTAAAGATCAACATTGGTGAAGGACTTCACTAAATGGAAAGCTATAAAACACCTCCCTGCCTGTATGTCCCTCAGGCTTTAACTGTTCTCCTCAAAGATCACCTTTTCCCCTGAATATCAGATATGACTAAAAAATCACCATTTCATTTCTAGAAATGGATCTCAAAAGTGTGGTTCTCAGGCCAGATATATTAGCATCATCTGAGAACTTCTTAAAAATGTAAATTCTTTTTTGAAACTGATGTATACTTGATATACAATGTTGTGTTACTTTCAGGTGTATAGCAAAGTGATTCAGTTATATATATATATATATGTGATCAATTTCAGATTCTTTTCCATTTTAGGTTACTATAAGACATTGAATATAGTTCCCTGTGCTATACAGGAGGTCCTTGTTAAAATGCAAATTCTTAAGCAACTCCACTCAAGTCCTACTGAGTCAGACACTCTGGATTGGGGATCAAGCAATTTGTTTTTTAATACGTTTTACAGATGATTCACATGTTCACCGAACTTTGAGAATCCGCTAGACTACAGAAATTATGTTCAATTCTGGCTCTATTGTATAATCTCTGGGCATTCAAACTTCATATTTTCATTTCATACCAGTTAAGTCAGAGTAATCAGAGTACTTTTAGAAAGCACCCCCAGAGATTCTACTCTGCAAGTAGGTCTGAGAAACACTCATCTCCATGGCATGGTTTCCTGAGGTATATTATACAAACACACTGACTTTGACAATTCTAGGATGTACTTTTAATTTTAGGCTGCTATGAATTTACTTTAAAGTGTATTAGAGAAATGTAACTAGCATACATGAACTGTAATCTTTTTTCTGCTTCAGGTAATAACATACAGTTTTCTTTAAAATAAATATATAAAAGTAAAAAAGTGAGTCAACTGAAAAATACGTTAAGTAAAAATATATGTTTCCATGAAAACAGAATATATATATATAACTGAATCACTTTGTTGTGCACCTGAAACTAACACATTGCAAATCAACTATACTCCAATAAAAATTAAATATATGTATATATATGTGCTTGTGTGTATGTATATATATATGTACGTACAAAGGGAGAGCTTCCCAGGTTGTGCAGTGGTAAAGAACCCACCTGCCAAGCAGGAGATGTGGGTTCAGTTCCTGGGTCAGGAAGATACCCTGGAGAGGGAAATGGCAACCCACTCCAATATTCTTGCCTGGGAAATCCCATGGACAGAGGAGCCTGGCAGGCTACAGTCCATGGGATTGCAAAGAGTCGGACACGACTGAGCAACTAAACAATAATGACAGATATATATGTATGTATGTATGTATGTATGTGTGTGTGTGTGTGTGTGTGTGTGTAGATAGATAGATACATAGAAATAGATATATATAGATATATTAATATAGATATCTATCTATATATATGTCTAAGACAGGGCAAAGGAACCATTTACCTTAAACAGTAGCAATATGAAATATTTCTATATGAGATACCAACAGAATTATCCCAGTAGCAGGAGTCTGGAGGACACGTTTTCCTTCAGACTTGTGTAATTAGGGGATGGATGGAACTATCCCATAAAACTTGAATTCTCCCCACAATGTCTTTATACTTGCTATTGTAATGAAAGAAAAAAGCTTCCCATAACCACCACCAAAGTCAGCATTGGATTTAATGCGAGCAGAGCAATTTGCATGTTGAGAACACGGATGTGGACTTTTGCCCTCATTGTAGGAGACAAGAGAGAGCATTTCTGTCTCTGCCTTTGGCTGGGAGGACAGAGTGGAAACACACTCACCTCTTCGTGCATTGGCTGGGGGTGCTGAGGTGAGCATCTCTCAGCCGATAAATTCCAAAACAAAGCATATTGTATGTTTTCAGAGCTTTGCAGAACAGATCACCATAACAACCACCATCCTGGAAGACAACAAAAGAACAGAGAGAAAAATCATTTTTATTTGCCTGAAAGTAAAGGTCCTGGGGGTGGGTGAGAAGGGCCTTTTCATGAAAGCTCATATTAGTGTCTCCTGAGTCAGAGGGTCTGTGCTGAGGAACAGTGGCTGAAGAAGTTAAATGTGCTTTATAGCCTACACCCCAATGTTGGTGACTTTTTGGGATCAAATAAGAATGGGTTTTCCTCTGGTTCTCTCCAGTTTTCCATCTGCAGCAATGAGAGCTCTAAGGAGCTGGTGCCTCTCCTTTCTTTAAGGTATGATATAAGCTTGAAGGTCTCAGATGTCTGTTCGGCTAAGGAGAAGAAATCAGCTCTGCAAAATGGTGATGATGTTTAGCCCCAGCTCAGTTGCAACCACAGTGATCTGACCGTGTTGTCAAAACTGCTCAAGTGATAATTAAAATCACTACCAGAAGAAAAGCCCCCACCAGGCCCTATGGTGACAGGCTCTTTCAGAGAAGGACTGTGTGAAAAGCACAATTTACAGACCTCGGAGATGGCAAGGGTGGAAGAGAATGTGTTTCCCCAGGAGTTGGAGGTCTGCAGGCTGAATAACTGGGATTCACAGTTCTAATCAGTTCACAGTCGCTTTCCAAGGGTCTGGGGCCAGATGAGGAATGTGAAAGCAAACTCACCCAGAAGCATTGGCTTCCTGCAGCCAGCTAGCTTCAGGTATTAATTCAGGAAGGGCACCAAGGGCTGACTTCATTGGGAATAAACTGATTGCATCTGTCCTTCCTGTTACTGAACTGCCAGATGGGCCTCATCCTAGAGAACACAACTGGAGCCAGATCTCACCATTATTTAAAGTCTTTGTTCTTTTAAAGTGTTGTTTAGTTACTAAGTCATATCCGACTCTTTTGCTACCCCATGGTCTGTAGCCCGCCAGGCTCCTCTGTCCATGGAATTTTCTCAGGCAAAAATACCGGAGTGGGTTGCCATTTCCTTCTCCAGGGGATCTTCTCAACCCTGGGATTGAACCCACATCTCCGGCATTGGAAGGCAGATTCTTTACCACTGAGGTATACCAGTGAGTAAATGATAGATAAAAAGAGCCACTAGCTATGGAGATGACCTTTTAAAGAAGTTCTAAGTCTAACATAGATTTTTGTCCCTCACCAAGCTAAAACACGGTGCAAATTAGCATCATAGTTTCAGAAAACATGGAGAAAGTGACCCTTTCCTTGGCTCCTTCTCTACTATTTGGACTTTCTGGGTGGCAGGCAGTACTGCTCATACACTAGGCTTACTGACCCTTAAGACTGCTGGTTCCAGCCCTTGAATACATTCATGGAGTTGGGCTGGGAATAAGGGTCAATTAAGACTGCATACTTCTGCCAAAGTGCCTGAAGCAGGCTGGTGTGTGGAACCCAAAGGGAGGCACGGGTCACCTCTGTAGCAGGGAGGGCAGTGGGGGAGTGACTGAGTCCACATTCAGAATTAATAGTCCACGTGCATGTGTGCTAAGTCGCTTCAGTCCTGTCTGATTCTTTATGACACTATGGACTGTATAGCCCACCAGGCTCCTCTGTCCATGGGATTCTCCAGGCAAGAATACTGGAGTGGGTTGCCATGCCCTCTTCCAGAGATATAAAAGTCCACAGGAACTTTTGAAAAACACTGATGGCCAGGACTCTGGGCCTGACCCTGACATTAGTGGTTTTCAGAACACCATAGCTTATTATGTGCCGCTAGACCCACTGGCCCAACCAATAGCATCTCATGTGGATCCTTTATGTCTCTAATTCCAGACTGAGGTCTCCTAATTCTGAGGCTGGAAATAGTCACTCTCCCCTAGCCCCACTCCTTGCTCCAGAGGTGACCCATGCCTCCCTTTGGGCTCCACATTCCAGCTTGCTTCAGGCACTCTGGCAGACCAATTAATGTAGAGTTGGGGTTAAGTAGCCCTGAGCCATGCTAAGACCTGCAGAATGGGTTCTCTAACTTGTGTGCATCTGAAACCACCTGATGCCTCCCATCTTGTGGCAGAAGACACTCTAGGAGAGTCAGTAAGCCCATGGACTCTGAAGCCAACATCCCTGGTGCAAATTCCCTGATAGGGCCAGTCCTCAGTTTCTGTGAGCCCCAGTTTCCTTAGAACATCTGATAAGAGAACCTATGCCAAAGGGTCACCGTGGGAATTAAATGAATGAATCCATGTAAAGCACAGTGACTGATACACAGTAAACCATAAGCATCACCTCTGACAGCTCTTTTCATGTGGAAAGAACCAAAGGCAGAGGTCTAGCCTGACACATTCAGATCTGGCCATTTTCTAAGTAACAGGCTCAGGTGCCCTCTGCCCCCTGAACTCACCCCCAGGTCCGCAAAGGGCCCGTCCAACAGCGCTAATTGGGCCACACGGCAGCGGTCCCTGTTGGCCAGCGTCTGGGGGGTGCTATAGCCCCCGCGCAGTGCATTCTCCTCGGCAATCAAAGCCTCCAGCTCCGGTGTGGCTCCTCCAGTCACCAGGGTCCGTATCAGGGTAAGGATGTTGTCATTGAAGTATGTCTGGGAAGAGATAGGAGCAAAGTCCTTTAAGCACACACACCCTAAAGTCAAGACAACCGACATTCAAATTACAACTTGATGTCTCCTGTTTAACGTTCTGGTCTGTCTCTTCAAATAGTTTTATGTGGGAAGTGAAAAGACAGCAGCCTCCAATTATTCCATTCTTTTCTCTCCTACTTGGTTCTGCCATGAAAGCTGACTTTAAAACCTGAAATTCAGTGGATTTTTATTAAAGGGCTAAAGTCGAAATGGTTAGTGTTTACCATAATTGGTGCTATCAGGGATGTAAATACGGATTCCTCCTCTGCTTGCTAAGGGATTCTGGGCGTATGTAATAAAATGCAGCCAGACCCAGGCAGGACGGCCTCTGAGTTTCTGCAACCCACGTGCCAGGAAGCTGCTTCCCCCAACAATGGTAGAACTTCTCTCTTTAGAATGAGATGCCAAGAGCATCATTAAGGCCATGCATTCAACGATTTATCACATACTTTGATAACAGGCTAAACCAGAAGTTTCTATCAACTAAATATGCCAGATAAATGTATGACAAGGTGGATACCCTGGTATTTTTGTTTTTAAGTAACCTCTATGGTCTGAGGCAAATATAGCTTATTAAGGAAGTTTCCCTCGATGTGTACATTTGTCTCACATCTGAAACATAACATGTCTGTCAGGAACAAAACAATAGGAGTTTTAAAAAATTAATAGGATGTCAAATAAAAGAGCTCAAAAAGGCATTTTTCACACAGCCTAATTCAAGGAAAATCTCAGTTAAGGGTCTGTTTTCCATTTTCCAGTGTAAGAAGAAATCAAACAGGCTAAATAATATCAAGCTAAAGTTTGCCTGTGGCTTTTGAGGATGGATGGACCTTTTGAAGCAGGTTAGGCAAGACAGCTGCATTTTTATTTCAGCAGTTTTTTGGACAGTTCACCTGGCAAAAATCTAGTGGGTAACAAACCAGGTAAAGGATGAGTTCGCTACAGCTTGGCCATCATAGTTCTATGTCTCGGGGGAGGTTGCCTAATCATTCTGGGCTTTGATTTTCTCATCCGTAAAATAAGCACCATCATTAAGATCAAGTTTATATGCAAAGAATTCCAGGAGGACTTCTGAGTTAAAATGGTAGCTGCTAGTGAGGCTAGAATCCCTAGGTTATTGAAGTACTCACAAAAGCATCCAAAGTGATACAAAATTTCAACAGCAACAGGAAACTAGGAATGTGATTCAGAACCAGTCAGGCCCTAAGGAGAAGGTATCATCTGCCAGAGCTTAGATGCCCCGCGGGGGAGGGCAGAGAAGCTGAAAGAGAACAAATATAGGAGGGACCATTGCTGGCGTGGATAGCCCGTGAGAGGCGGGCTAGGGGCTCAGGGCTGACCTAGCCACTTAGTAGCTGCATGACTCTGGAAAGTTATTTCTCATTTTTGTGCCTCAGTGTCATGATCTGTAAACTATAATAGAGTGGGTTACAAGGATTATATAACTGATATGTGTGAGGCATTTAGAAAAGTGTTTTGTGCACAGGGAGCACAGAGAAATACTTTCTGGACTGATATCAGAAACTCAGGCCTTCGTTACCTACTGTTCAGTACGTGGAACTCTGCTCAATGTTATATGGCAGCCTGGATGAGAGGGGAGTTTGGAGAAGAACAAACACGCATCAATGTATGGCAGAGTCCCTCTGCTGTTCACCTGAAATCTTCACAACACTGTTAATCGGCTCTACCCCAATACAAAATAAAAAATTTAAAAAAGAAACTTGGGCCTTTGTTGATGAAAAGACAGGTTAATTCATGACCAATTTTCTCTTTCAAAAAGTCTTTTCTGGCTTTTTTGGGGGGGCGGGGTTGCAAACCAAGGCCATTCATTTTACCCTTGCATCTGCACTGCTCAGGCTGCCTCCACGCTAAGATTCCATTTAGACTTAGCAAAGACCCAGCAAGGGTCAGTGGGGACTGCATGCTGAGCTGTGACCAGAGCCATGTGGGCCACCACAGGTGAACTCTCATGGAAACTGGTTCAGGGCACACATAAAAACATTTCCCAAAGTCTTCAGAGGTAAATTGTCTTCTCTATAGTTCAACAGACCATCGTCAGAAACAGAAGCCCCCTCCCCTGACCTCAGCTCTGTGGCACATTAAATGAGGGAGTGCCAGACGCAGAACTTTGACCAAGGCCTTTGTGCTATAATTACCCTTCTAGATCAACACCCAGGGAGGAGTTCGCCAGCACAAAGTGTGGACGGCAGAACATTAATGACCTCATGGTGAAAAACAGAGTCTGTCTTGCTCAAATGTACAGAGAGAAACAGCTAATATAAATATTTTTTTTTAAATATTTACTGGAAGAAGTAGAAGAAAAATTTAGGAAGCATATGTTTTAGAATCAAAATCAATTAAAAAAATAGTGAGTATCTCTAACAAACAAAAGATCAGATGATAAGAAAGCTGACTTCATACAACTTATTCAACTCTTTTAAAATGTAAGATATTGAAATTAAAAAAATATAATTTAAAAATGCCTGAGAAGGATCCAATGCTTTTTCATGATAAACACACTCAAAAAACTAGAAAAGGAAGGGAATTCCCTCAATCTGAAAAAGGACATATATTAAAACATCAGACTTATAGGTGAAAGATTGGAAGCTTTCCTTTTAGATTAGGAACAAGACAAAGAAGCCAGCTCTCACCACTTCTATTAAGCATAGCACTGGAGGTCTTAGCCAGGGCTAGAAGGAAATAAAGGTATCTATATAAAAACTGAAGAAGAAAAATTATCTCTATTCACAGAAGACATGATCTTGTATATAGAAAATCCTAAAGAATCCACTGAAATGATATTCTCGGTAATAAATGAATTCACTAAGATTGCAGAATACAAAACCAATCATTTGTGTATTTGGGCACATGCAATGAAAAACATAAAAATGAAATTAAGAAAACAATTCTTATTACAATAGCATCACAAAGAATAAAATACTGAGGAATAAATTTAACCAAGGAGGTATAAGATTAGTACACTGGAAACTACAAAATATTGTTGAAATAAAGAAAATCTAAATAATTGGAAAGACATCTTAAGTTCATAGATTGTAAGATTTACTATTCTTAAGACAGCAATATTCTCCTAAACAATCTATAGATTTATTGCAATTGCTATCAAAATCCCAAAGACCATTTTTATAGAAATGAAGCTCATTTTAAAATTCTTGTGAAATTGCAAGGAGCCCTAAATAACCAAACCATCTTGAAAAGGAAAAACAAAATTGGAGGACTCACACTTCCTGATTTTGAAGCACACCACAAAGCTACTATAAGCAAGAGAGTATGGCATTGCCCTAAGGATAGACTTATGGACCAGTGGAATCAAATTGAGAATCCAGAGATAAACGCATATGCTTTGTGTCAATTGATTTTTCAACAAAGGCTCCAAGATCATTCTACAGAGGAAGAATATAGACCCTTAATCAAATATTGCTGCCACAGCTGGGTATCCACATTCAGAAGAATAAATTTGTATCCCTACTTCACATCCTATGCAAAAACTGCTTCAAAATGGATTAAACACCTGAATATAAAAGGTAAAACAATGAAACACTTAGAAGAAAACATAGAAGTAAAGCATTATGATTTGGATCTGAAAACTGATTCTTAAATATGACACCCAAAGCATAGGCAACAAAAGAAAAAAAATAGGAAAATTAAATTTAATCAGAATGAGAACTGTCTGTGCACAAAGTACACCATCCAGAAAGTGAAAAGAAACCTAGAGAAGAGAGAGTATTTACAAGCCGTTTATCCCAGAAGGACCTAGCAACCAGAGTATATATTTAAAAGTGTTACCATTCAACAACATAGAGAAAAGTAACCCAAATTTAAAAATGGGCAAAAGTGAGCAAATTTTATTTTAAAATACTGGTGAAGTATATTAAAACATGGAATTTTAAAGGATATATTATTATCAAACAACGTGCATGTCAGAAGTAATTCTTGAAAGAAAAAAATACAACATAAAATTACCTATCAGTAATATTAAGTCATTTTTAAAAGCCAGAAAAATGAGGTAGGAGAAAGGAGAATGGAAGTAAAGACACATGTAAATTCCCTGATCTTATAGAGGAAGAAATCAAGATCTACTAAATTTTTCTAGATAATAATATGAATAAAATGTAGCTTCAAGTACATTTATAGAGTATCTGGTATCCACTAACTAGGGTTAAAAACAAAGTGTTTAATTTACACATCACTAGAGAAAATAAGCATACAGAAATAGACCAATGCCCAAGGATCAATAATACAGGACACAATTATCGAAGCAGAAAGTATAATGCAAATTTTAGCATCATAGATTATATAACTAAACATAAATGAGCTAAAATGATTTGATAAAATGGCAAAGTTTTCAAACTTGTTCAAAAACCAAAATCAAAATCAAACTCTGGTATCTTCAGAGATAGGAAAACACGCACACAGACATACACACAGAGAAAATGAAAGTATATTTAAAGGGAAATTTTTAAAAAACTTTATTATCAAATTAACATGTTCATAGTTAAAATTTATAAAAAATATATAACTTATTTATGGAGAAATTATAACTAAAATATAGACAACAAAACTAATTAACCATTATAGTAAAATAAATATGGACTGAGAGTCATATGTAAAAGTGATATGTGAAATATCATGTGTTTCTTGTTTTCACAGCTCAAATAGACCAAAAGTATAAGGAAATGAAGGATATAGTATGGGCATTTAGTACCTTTGTGCTAAACTTCATAACATTTTTAGTTAGCTTCCAAGTAACACTAACAAATCATGCTCAATGGCCCAAAGTATAAAATCTCAATATACATACTAAAATATAAGATGTATGGCCTATATTTAAAAAATAAACATAATAGTAGAAAGAAAAGTAAATAACCCAATACTTCAAAGTTCTTTAAAAGTATCCTAAATAATTACAGGTCAAGATGGAAATAAAACTCAAGAATATAGAG